CCGAGGTGGGATTTGAACCCAAGTCTCTGGATTGACAGTTCATCGACACAACCACTGGACTATCTCAGTGACAACGAAGTATTACAATCTAGTAGTTATGTGACACTCGCTGTACACGGCCTTGTCATCTTGAATATCCGCGAAAAAAGAACGAATACCAAATTGTAAACAACTTACAGCGTTGAAACGTACCCGTTCTGACGTCACCAAGGGCTGTGAAGTTTTTTCGTTTCTAAGGGCGTTGCTATGGGGTTATTTCGATTTGGGGGGATCAGACAAAAAAAACAACAACTGATTTTGAAACCTTTAGTAGTTCTCTTCTAATATAAAATGGTATTAAAACTGTATTTCTAAATAAATCAAACCCGTCATAAGGTCTTTAAGTTAAACTATCGAACATTCTATCGACCCCATTCTCTATTGATATCGAACACATGTCTATCGCGATATATATCGTTATCGTTTTATCGCCCAGCCCTAAGAAACAGCCTCCAGAGTGGAACAGAACAGCACAGCGGGAGGCCGTTTCACAGCGGCGTGAAGAAAAAGGTCAGAATTCTTGGCCTGCTCTGACCTCACCACTTTCCCGCATGTACATTTGGACATGTGCAGTAGCCAAAAATGGCGGCGGGTCAGCTAATGCTACGTGTGCTTCGAGCACTACACGGAGGAGAAATTGGCTCCTTCATCCAAACTAAATCACGCAAAGCTCTAGTTTAAGTTTCCATTTTCGCTGCTACTGATAAATACAGAATGATGTTGGTGCTCAGAAAACTCAGAAAAGGTCAAAAACTGGATAAAGGCTAGCCTGGCCTTAACCATCCGTACACTCCGTTCAATCATCATTTCACTGCATGTAACGTCTGGGTCTAGTCCCTATGTTAGCGATTACAATCGATTGAATTTCGACCGACTATTCAGAGAGCGCAGAAGGCAGGTGTTGTAGTTAGTTGTGGGTGATGTCAAGAGTTTGCGTCGAACGGGCAGGTTGTAGTTTGGTAATGACGAAAAATGCGATAGTAAAGTAATCTGGTCTGGCTCTATCAAGAAATTGAAGCCGGAGCAAGGGTGATGTTTAGCAAATGTAATCGCTATAAAAAATTGTGGCGCTACTCCCCACGGGCTCCGTTAGTGGCAAAGGAGATGGCTAGGCTAAATGCTAACAACAGACTCGGGCGCACTACATACGTCACGGTAAACTCAGATCCAATCGTTTCAATCTGCAAAGGGAGTCAACCCCTCCTACCTGTAAACGGAGCTCAATGGAGCCAGAGGCGTTCCAAGGGTACCCCGGGGCCCCAGGCAACATAGTCCTTGGGGGCCCCAATACCGACCACATAAAAAGGTTTATATTACAGTAGGTATAAATATATATTTATAAATAAGGTAAAATGCAATATCTATTACTTGTTTACATTAATATAAATTAAATGTAGATAATTTCTTATTTTTTACAATAATGGATAGGCCTGGGGCCTGCCTGGCAGACTGTACAGTCTACCATAGAAAATTGTGAATATTTCAGAACTTATCGTGACACAAAGCTATGGTCTAGAGGAGCGCCACGTCTTAACCACTAGACCACCGGTTCTACTGATATAACAATGCCCCAGAAAGGGTTTTAATTGTTAATAAACAAAGTGGCAAGTTTCGCATCAGACAAAAAGTTCACTGCAGGTAGCTGTTGTAGCCTGTAGAAGTCGACCACTTGTGTCAAATTAGTCGGTCCTCGGGGGGCCCCCTGCCGGTTTGAGGGCCCCAAGCAGCTGCCTGCCTTGCCTGTTGCCACGGGATGCCTCTGAATGGAGCGCCTCCAGACCTTAGTACAAAATGTCATTTGTACTATGGTGTGGTACGACCAGGCTAGATAAAGCTAGGCAACTATACACAGGATTTAGAAGAGCAAAATAATACATTGATTTAGTTTATATCTCACTCCAATTTTTACAATCAGGTTGATGCCTCCACCCCACCTACGTCTTCATATAACTAATAAAATAAAGTTTTAAAAAATTGTGCGAATTCAATAATAAATATTGATCACATTTATTACACGTTCAAGCCATCTTTTTAATGATTCCAACTATGTGGTAAATATATAAATAAGGAATATACAAAACTCAGTAGACATGAATCTTGCATTGAATAAAAAAATAATGTTTTTTTGTCTTTGTTCGACAGGATACATTGTTGATCCATCTACAGCTTAGTAAAGCAGCAGGCTACAGGTGAAACTCTGAAAATTAGAATATCGATCAGACTAATGAATAGTGAGATACATCAAGCCTTTGTCATAATGTTGATGTACTTATTTATGTTTTCAAAATCATGGGTTATGGTCTGGTCCATTCATTAATTAGACAGTGTCGAATCCTAACCTGACATGCACCTGTTTCGCTTAAAGAAAAAAGTTTAGGGTAAGATCAGATCTCACCACAACTCTGAAAGCAACTTGAATAATGTACAATATTGTAATAAGTAATTATGAATGAAGGATTTGCTAGAAAAAAAATTGTACTCAAAATACATAAACACTCAACTGGTTTTATCAAAATAAGTAAAACCAATGTGTGAGAAGGAAGCCAGACAGAGACAGTAGACCCCCTGAGCCTCTCCTCTAATGCGCCTCATTAACTCCAGTTAGCAGCTCAGGGTCCCAAACTGCTACCTGTGTACTCCTCCGAGAACGGGAACCTTGTAGTGAAGTAAGATAGAAGAAAAGACGAAGAGGCGTCTAACAGAGACAGACAGAGTGCAGCTGAGCATGAAGGTGAAGCTTTTCAGTCGGGGCTGCTGTGAAAACCCCGGCGTCACCGCTCAAACGTCAAAGGGCTACGACGACATCACTGTTATGACATTAAAAAAACAGGATTGTGGTGGTGGGATGTCACTGTGAAGTCAGTGGTCAGCGAACCTCTAAAAGGACTGGATTATACACAGTAACCGCATGTCAAACAGGAGTAAACTAGTGGTTAATGGGGAAACAAACAACTGGAATAGTTGTTATTTTGAGTACACAGAAGATTCTTGTTTGTGTTTTCAAATCTGATTGTACATTCTATGCGCTAGTTTTGGGTTTTGATGATGATGTTTACTTCTCCCAAATTATCAGATGTATTTAGTTAAGAAGGATATTCAAAGAGCTGATACTTCTGCATCCGAAAGTAAGAGTGTAAATGTTCCCATTGACTCAATCACTAAATTAGTCTTTGCATTTATTTGAAATATAATGAAAATGCACATACACACATCTACTGAAATATGAAGTGATTGATTGTTTTAATTATATTTTGGTCCCACCCTGGGAGTTGCCAGTGCTGTAAGTGTTCTCTTTGGGACTATAGGCACCAGATAACAAATGCATAAGGATGGGAGTTTCCCCCTGCATACCATTAATTTTGTTTGCTGTTGATTGCTATGCACATGTAATTGCCATCCTCAAATAAAAAAAAAAACTTGAATGTTGATGGGTTGCTTAGCAACAAAGTCCAGTGATGGACATAAAGCTGTTCCCCAAAACATTGTAAAGGTCAGACGTGTGTAACACCAGCAGCAGATCCACAGGAAAGAGTCTGAGGCTCACACTGAGGCTCACAGTCACTGAGGCTCACATAGTTGTGTCCTGCGCCCTCTTTCCTGGCGGGGCCTGTGTCAGCACAGGTTAGAACAGAGCAGCCGCTTCGCTAATGTGCTGTGAGCCACAACACTACTGTAACAAACCCACGAGCTGCTTCTGTCTGAGTGTGTGTGAGAACCTTTACGTTCATGTTGCGAGTTACTGATGCTTGTAAACACTGATTTGCTAAGAAGTCTTACATGAGGTGGTAGAATAATCATGAGATAATATATAACACATAGCAGAAATTGCTAGATACGTAGTTTAGTGTGAATCCTGAACATCCACCATGTTTTTGCACAATTATAATAGATTGCCATGTTATTGATTTAAAATACATAACACCCAATAATTCCAAAATGGTAAATCAATGATGGTCTATTTTTTATTGTGATTGTTTATATTAATTAGGGGCCCCACAACCTTTCAATTCAAAATGTCTTTCAGTGACAATCTTGTGAATGAGTAAAGGTGTCGGTAGTCTGCACCATGGCTGCACTGATTACAGTTGTGTTTTATGCTTGTAGGCCGGTTCTGCCCTGTTTTTGAGCTCCATTGGAGATGTAAGCTGTTCAGGAGGCCTGTGTTTAGAGTCAATGCCAGGTGCTATGCATTTCACGCTCACTGCTTCTGTCTTGCAGGAGTCCTGGCAGCTCCCCCTCTCTCAGACACGAGCATGTGTTCATGCCCTCCTCCAAAGTGCTGCTGTTGTGCAGCGTGATGCCTCTTTCTCACATCATCTGGAGTTTTTCATACTCGGTCGGCATGTGCTGGCAGTCATTATCACTCTGGTTCCAACTTCAGCTCATTGTGAGGCTGACGATTGTTTTCCTGCCTCTCGTCTCGTTCCTCTTTATCAATTAGGACGTCTCCCAAATTAATCAATACTCTATGAAGCAATCTAGATTACTGACTTCAAATGGAAAACATTTTCAATTGCAAATGGCATAAAACAGAAAATTAGGCAACAATGGACATCATTTCAATTTGGAATTTGTGCCTTTTTCCACTGGTTGTAAACATTTCCTAACGAGGACAATAAAATCTGTTACTTCTTTAATTCAAATCAACTATAACATTTCATCACCTAATGACGTTATCTAATATAATATTGTATATACAATAAAATATAGTTATAGAAACATTTGATAATCATAAGTTTTAGAAAATCGTTTTAATATTTTTACATTTCACTTTTACAATATACAAGACAACTTATGGTAACTTTAGGTCTACTTATTTCAAGCAAAAGTTGCCCTATTAAGTTGTTCGTATCTGCATGCATGAAATCTCTCACATCCAAGCCCCAGAAAGTGCTGAAAAGTCATAAACCGTGCGGCACAGAATGCTGACGACACTGGAGCACTTGCTGAGAGAGTCTTACCGTGAGCGTTGGGATGGCCGTGACCAGTGAGTAGATGAGCACCGGGGGGATCTTGCTGGTGTGGTCCGGGCCGGGGTAGGGTTTGGAGAAGGTCTTGTCGTAGCAGAAAAAGCCCTGGATGTGTACTGGGAAGGTGTCAGTGTACTCAAAGTAGTAAGCCAACAGAACCGTCCCAGCCATGATCACCAACTGGAAATAGAACATTATCCTTGGATTAGGACGCCAGAATGAGACAGGAAAGAAAACCCCGTTAGAAGTAAAAGGAGGGGTACATAACAAAAAAAGAAGTGGTCCGGTTCACTAAAGAACAACATGAAATGCATGAATACTAAAATGACAGAGCAATGAAGAGAGAGGAGACGGGAGCAGACTCCATCCTCGCTGCCGCTCCGCATCTACTACACGAGCTGAGTGAGCGAGAGGCAAGGAAGCCACGCCCCTTTGGAGGGATCTCAAGGAAGCCCACTTCAGATAAAATATACATGATAGACAATTTTTGGATGGCATTTGAATAGCGTGGACAGTCGCTGTTACTTTTATCATTGCATGTCTTATTATAGTATATTATTCTACTGTATGTCACATGTAATATTCTGTATTGTAAGAATCTGTGGTCAGTGAAGCAGCACACGGTGTTGTCTCTTCGTATTCCGTCTTGCTGATATAATGGAGGAAATTAATAGCCATGTTTAGAGAGCAATTTTTGGCTAATTCATAAATAGACTTTTTACCTAATGGTGAGGCACATTGAACGTGTAGGTGGGCAGTGTGCCAGCACAGGTTTTGACTATGAACCAACTTTTGCTTTTGAGCTTCAAACGACTTAGTGATTGCATGTTCTTTTCTCCATAATTGTTGGCTGGACAACGCTGGCAGCGTTGTGTTTTGTTGTAGTAATGACATATGATCATAAAAAAATGGCATAACATCATCAAAAGTAGACTTTGGACGCCAGCTTTATAAGCAAGATGATCCCCTGCCCTGACTAACCTGTACAAAGTGTAAAGAATTAAAAAAGAACAATTTACAGTTCAAATCGTGTCAACGCAAAAAGTTACTGACATTCAAAGTGCTCACATACTTTGTTATTCTTTAGCCAAATAGGTTGACATGCATAATTTAAGTATACAACTCATATGATTTCAAATATGCATGTTGCCAATATCATGTAATCATAAAGTAAAATTTGTAAAATACAGTGCAGAAGCCAGTCTACAAACCAAGACACAGTGGGATTGAAGTCCTAGAGTTTTGCCCTAAATTGCAGGTAGCCTGCTCAGCATCTTCACTTTTCTCTTGCCTTTAGCCCTTTAACACTTCACTTCTGTTCCTGCACCGAGCTGAATATTTCATGGCTCTAAACTTTCCATGCGAGAGCTGAACGCACCACAGGGTCTGTGTAAAGCGAAGCTTTACAAATGTAGTGACAACCTTGAGACAACAGCTACAGTTGATGGAGATTGTGTTGGGAAAACGGGAATGTTCCAGAAGAACAAGAACAGCCCATGGCACGCACACAGACATTATGTACATGTGCAATGCTTAAAATACATTTACTCCTATGGTTACGCAAAATAACACACGATGAGTCAACTAGTCAAAACATAAGACAAAATTTTATAAAACCAACAACAGTATGTAAATATTACAACATAATTATGCCTTTCAGAGATCCAATTAGGATGCATCGATACAATAAAAATATTGGTTCTGAGAGAGGAAATATTGTATCAAATTGGTTTAAGGATGTTGGTGTAGCGCTTACCCTGATTAGGCTTCTGTGACATTCTGATTTAATACCCACTTGTAAGTAGAGTTTTAACTCGTTATTCTGTTGCAGAATAACTGGAGTCAGGCCCTTCTCTAGAATCGGGTCATAACAGGCATTTACAGATATTGAAAGCCTCAAATACACCCATATTAAACAAAACTTGCAAAACTTGTGTCTTTATCATAGAATAACAGACTCACACTTTAATTAGATAAGGACATTTACTATGGACTGGTCGCCCAGTAAATTTAAAAAAAGTAAAGATCAGGATGGTTTGGTCATTCCCAACCTGGAAGAATATAATAATTTCCCCTCCACAACAAGGAGCAATGGGCCTCACTCACGAACGGTTCTTAAGAACAAATTTCCTACTTACGAGGATTTTACGAAGATTGTGGTATTCATGAAATTTTCTCGTAACCAGAATTTCTCTTAAGTACAAATCGTACGAGTGCTCAGGAGCACTCTTATGCACATTCAGTGCCGACATGTTGGCACGCTGGCGTTATGAAGTTCAATAAAACACAACATTACAGTGATATGTCCATCATATTGATGCTAAGGTTGGGCGATATTTTTTTTGTACCGGTATACCGGTATAAGTAAATTAAATGATAAGAAAATGCCTTATACCGGTGAAAACGATCATTTAACACTGAAAACGGCAAGCGGAAGACACGTTTGTGTGCGGCGCACTTTGATGACGCATCTGCGCGGCACGTGTAGCAGAGCGGCGTGCAGGGACAACAACAACAGAGCAGAGAGCAAACATGGCTGAGGGCGGCGGTGAAGACCATGGTGAAGACATGCAGATTGTAGAAGACATTGTGCCAAAACGCGGAGCTACCTCAAACATATGGGAGTAGTTTGGGAACTAGATAAAAAGAAGCAATTGTGTGTAACTATCGACAGTGGATCTAATGTTGTGAAAGCAGCTGCCCTAAACAACTGGACTTGAGTGGCTTGCTTCGGACACTCGCTCTCTCTCTCTCTCTCACAGTGCCATTGGTAAGCTTTATTTACTGTTTACTGTCATTCATTTTACTTCAATGCAAGTGTTTGTCTACATTGCAATATAATTACAAATAAGTTATAATTACATAATTATAGAAACGCAAAAGGATACAAAAAATATATACAGTATTTGATCATTTTGACTATATTGGGATTAGGAAACATAAGCCAAAGTGATCAAATAATTATTTAATAATGCTACACTTTTTATATTACAAAGGACAAACTTTTATATATTTTACAAATTACAAATGTTCACCTTTATTACCTGATGCCTGCAATTTTCAGTATGTACAAAACAGAATTCTCTACAATTCAGTTTTGTTAATATGTTTTATATACAATAGCTGTATTGCACATTTTGCTGCCAATAAATCAGTAAATGCACTTTGAGGCAAGTGTGTTTAAAATTATCAGTGCTAAGTTTTTATAGCTTTTATATGAGGCTTTGTTAAAATTATCATATCGTCATATCGTGATACATACCAACAAAAATCGTGATACATGCTGAGGCCCATATCGCCCAACCCTAATTGATGCATGTATTTATTCATTTCATTGTTTATGGTAATTTAGTAAAAATTTTAATTCATTTTTAAACTAAATGTGCCAACCTTTATAAGATACATTGGAAATCATGCCGTGTATTAGTGACCCCATCCAATTTATAGGGGACATTTCTCCATCCACGGGCCACAAAACAATGGCATACATACTACTGCTGCAGGAGGTTGCGGGGTCTGCGCTGAGTCTCCGCGCTCGTCTCTCCCATCTGTGGTCTATGCGGTCTCTCTTCGGTCTCTCCAGTCTACGGTCTCTCATCGGTCCGCGCTGGTTTCTGTGTGCTGGTCTCTCCAGTCTCTCCTCGGGTCTGCATTGGTCTCAGCGCTATAGTCCACGCTGGATCTCCTCCCAGGGTCCAAAATATTCTGAGATTAATCTCATAACATTTTGAGATCCATTTTTTTATTATTACATAATATATTTTTAAATTAATCTCATAAAATTTTGAGATTAATCTCATCATATTTTTAGATTGATCATGATTTTGTTAGTTCGACTTTATTCTCATAATATTTTGACTTTAAAGTCAACATTTTATGACTTTATTCTCAATCTGGCAAAAGAAGAAAAAAGGGTGACTCTTTTGCTCCGTAACTCTTTGCTTAATGTTGCTGTTTCCTCTGGCGTCTGCACACGGCCCTACAGTCCCTTTTATGGGCAGTACCTTTGCTAATGAATCACCTGGCATGCGCGCTCTACTTACGAGTTGGTATTCATCAATCTAAGAACAGCTGCGAACAATTCAGCGGTTTACGACCGCGTTGATGAATCCCACGTAGGGTCTTCTTAGAAATCTACTTAAGAACGACTTGAGAAGAAATGTAAGAAGATTCTTAAGATATTTGTGAATGAGCCCCAATGTTATTAGAACATAACCTGATATAACCGTGTCAAAGTCTTTTCCTTTTTATGAGACCTCTTCATGATTACAACCAAAAAGAACAACAATTCAAGCCATTTAAAAACAAAATGGCGTGAATCAAATGCATGCTAAAATCTGGATTCATAGTCCGTTTCCGTCAGGTAGCCACACTGCCATGGCGTTCTGGTGTCTGAGGTGGGTTTCAGAGTGGAAGACCATTCTTGCCAATATGAAAAAAATCTAATCTTTTTCTAATCTTCCCATTTTGTCCATTGATTGTCAGGAGTAAAGGCACAAAAAACTAAACAAAAAAAAACTAATATAATAATATAACCCCATGAGCGAATACAGACCGTGGTAAATGCAGGACCATACGCTGGATTCGGAGATACGCTGTATGCACTGATTATAGACTCCTGGAGGCTGACTCCTCTGGCTTGTGACGCAACATCGAAGTGTTGCCACGTCATCACTTTGAAGCAAGGCATTTTTCTGCCTCTCGAGAATGAAAAATAATAATGCCTTTTAACTAAAACTTGATGGAATCAAAGAAACCAAATAGCACTGTAATGATGTTTAAATCATATAAATGTTGAAAAGTGTAATAAGGGATCTTTAAGCAGCAAAGTAAAAAGTATACCACTTTTTGGCATCTCTTCTAACCTGTGGAGGATCAAGGTATTTTCTTCATCTTCCTTGTTTGGATCAGCATGTTGTCAGCTGTAGTGAAAGTGTATCCTTTAACATTCACTCCCATAGCCCTAACTAGTAGCGTTTATTTCATGTTGTCACTCGTGCTATTGAGAGCAGTGAATCCTTCCAACATGACCTTCTTTGTAATTAATAAATGGACCCGTAGAACATCAGAGAAGGAAACTTTGGAAATGACGTTGAAAACGTATTTTAAAACAATCTCAAAACCACAAATCCACTGCTACTTACCCAGCACATTTGCAACTTTTTTCTGAA